GGGAAAGTGCTGGTATTCCTGGACAGTCACTGTGAGGTGAATGAGATGTGGTTACAACCTCTGCTGACTCCCATCAGAGAAGATCGCAAGACTGTGGTGTGCCCTGTGATTGACATAATCAGCTCTGACACACTTACCTACAGCTCTTCCCCAGTTGTGCGTGGAGGATTTAACTGGGGCCTGCACTTTAAGTGGGATCTTGTTCCTTTGTCAGAACTGGAAGGACCCGAGGGAGCCACTGCTCCAATCAAGTAAGGTTCCTCCCGTGTGGTGGGAAGTTCTGTGTGATATGTTGAGAACTCGTTAATCATTACAGAGCGTTATCTGGGTGTGCTGTTTAAGAAGCAGATGCTTTACCTGTCAGCTATCTGACTTGTTTATTTTACCTTGAGATAGTTTTGGTTACTGTTACCTATTTCAGTTTAATTTCTCACATTTAATCACAGATCAGATATATCTATCCTCTTAAGTCAAGAAGTATACTTCTAGAGAAAGCCTATACAACAGCAGCTTTTGCTAATACAAAAGTCTTCAGGAGCTAATGCTAGTCTGTATTAAATCTGTCCAATAATTTCACTTTTGAGCTGTGCATTGATGTTTGTTTCCAGTCTGTTGATGTTTGGCTTAATGATGATTTTGATAACTGTCTTTGTGCTAGTAATAGCCTGCATATCCCACTAACATAGGCTCTATATTTTCTGTGATTAAATGCTAAAGAATTGATAGATTAAGAAAATACATTTTTGTGGCAACAGGAAGGTGGTCTTCCAGCTGATGGGAGAGAACATCAGAGCATATGGTAATTTTCTATGTCAAAATATATTTTTTTTCTTCAGATTTAATTTATATTTTCACCAAACAGCAATTATTTTGTCATAAAGCTTTCTAAATGAACACATACAGATGTGAAAACCATTTAAAAATATGACTTGTCTCTTTGCATGATGTGGCAAATGCCTGAAACTGTTGGAAACTGCCCGTATTGTTTTTGCAGTCTTTTGAGAGTCATTCTGAAGCAAAAGACTTGTAAAAGCTTAACACTAGAACTTGAAAGTTACCTTCCTCAATCTTTTAACCACTGATGGCTGTCTTGCCTGTACTGAACTGGCAATACTTGGTTCCTGGTAGACACGTAGCTGTTAAAAAATGATGTCAACAGACACCTTTTTTTCTTTAGTAGCAGACACATACGGTTCAGACATGAGAATGGAAGCTGTCCCAGTGTGAATCCCTTCATGAAAAGGGCCAGTGCTGGTAGAGCAGTGCAAGAAAAACTGTTTGTGTTTTTTCTAGTTGCAGTAATCCATCTCAGTACAGAATAGGTTTATCAGGCAGAATAACTTCTTGCAGACTGACTCCTTGCAGATAATATGGTACTTCTATGAAATTTGCAAAGTGAATCAGAACTGGGTGGTCTCATCTCTTGCATTCTCTTTTCTTGGATTGTTAATGAAGAGCATTTCGGGCTGACGCAAGCAGCTCCAGCACAAGGTTCTTTGTTGTCGTCTGACAGCTCTGCAGTTAGTCTTTCCATGTCTACCCATCACAGGATTTGGTCTGAGAAGCCAGGAAACTTCTTAAGTTACTTAGCAGTTTGACTGCCTTGTTTGGAAAGTGTCATTGTGGCCATTTCTGAAGCAAGAAGGAAAAGGACAGACTAGGAAAATCTGAATGGGGAACCAGCATAGAAGGTCTTAAAATCCTTATTCTTGAATCTTAAAATGTGAGAACTGTTCTCGCATTTAATCTGGTTCATGGCTGAAAGTTAGTTCTTGCTTTTGTTCAACACTGTTGTTGCATTCCTTCAACTCACTTTTAGGAAAAACTCCCATGAAAAGGCAGAGAGTTTTGTAGTTAAAGGGAGTCTAATAATTTTAAAAGATTACTTTTTCTGAGTATTAAAGTGACTTTTCCTACTTAGAGGTCTCTGCCTGCTTTGAAAAAGAAGCTAGATTGCTGCTTAACCTTGGCAAATGGCTTTCCATCAAATGGAAAGTCTTACATTTTTAGAGACCTTCATAATGAAACATTTTGGTATCAGGGATGGAAAAATTGAGAGCAACCTTTCAACCCAGATTTTAAAGTGACAGAATCTGTAGTAGAAAGCTGTGTGAGAACAAGCAAGGATGTTACTAGTAAGGACAAGAAAAAGTCTGTTCCCCACCCATTGTATGTTCCAACTGTCGTATCTTTATGTAGTATTTTTACTCTTTTTCTTTCCATCTCCCTCCCCCATACTCTTCTAGAGCAACTACATATTATAACTTAGTGATGCAGTAGCAATTCAACCTAGAGCCTGTACAGTGGGGATCATATGCAGATTTTTTACAAAGTAGAGCACCATTCTGGTAGCACACAGGCAAGGTGAAAAACTGGGAAATGCAAATAAGCAAACTGTAAAGAACTTGCCAATAAACTGATGATCGCATCAACAATGAAATAATGCTGCTCTTGGGGTTTAGATTCTGTGGAGACAGAGTAGGATTTCTTTTAGCATCCTCCTGGCTTGTGTAATTCAAAATGGTACCTTGTTTCTTGCTCTAATTCAATATGGGAGAGTAATGTGTATCCTGGGTTCTGCTCTTTCTGCAGTACAGCCAAGCCTGGTCTCCATAATTTGCTCCTGTAAGAGAGGGAACAACATTATTGTGTGCAAGTATCCATTTGTAACTGTAGAGGAAATAGCTTCTGGTAAAGACAGATTAATTAAAGGCCGCTCCTAAGTTTCACTGTAGAAAACTTGCTGGACTCCAAACTTGTACAAGTTCTTATGTTTTTAGGTGGTTGGTTTGTTTTGGTCGGCTTTTTCAGTAGAGACACAGCCACTTTTTTCCTTTTTCCCTGTCCTGCACCTTTTCCTCAAATATACTATACAAAAAATTAAGGTTTATAGGTATTGGAATAACAAGAAATCCCAAATACCATTTACAGATCTACTTCTGAAAATTTTTTTTAAGACTGGAAGTGTGATCCGATGAGTTCTAGTGTCTGCAAGATTTAAATTGTATTATATAGGTGTAAAGTTAAGCTTTGAGACTAGCAGGTTCAGCTAAAATGACTTATTTTGGTTTTTTGTTTTTCTCTAAAAAAATGAACTTCTTTGTTCCTTTTTAGGTCACCTACTATGGCTGGAGGCCTGTTTGCCATGGATCGTGAGTACTTTAATGAGCTTGGACAGTATGATAGTGGCATGGACATCTGGGGAGGAGAAAATCTGGAAATATCTTTTCGGGTAATCTACCTTTTATGTGTGTATTGGAGTGTGAAACTTGGTGTCTGGCTGCTTCTCTTCCCTATGTGCAGCTTCTCTTTCCTATGTACTGTTTCTTTAGCACTGGAATAGCTATTTGCACATAGAAATTGGCACTTCTCTTCCCAGGAAGGATGCCTTTGAGCACACAGTAACTGCCTTTACAATAATCTTCAAGTTAAGCTTTAAAGGGAAGATTAAAGAGAATTTTGAGTTCTGTAGTTAAACATTCGTGGCTTTTTCTGTGTTTGGTGGAGCGTTTCATGATACCTATAGAGAATCACAGGAAAAGAATAATCATGCAAATTTCTGAAAGGAGTTTATAAAAAATGTCTGATGAATCTCATGTCAGTTAAAAAGACATGGCTCACAGCAGCATTGATAATAAGTAAGCTTATTATCTTTCCTTAGTCATGTATGGGGCTTTTCAGATACTTCAGCCTCCTTTTTGAGAGCCTGGAAATGTAAATTATTTTTGTAACTAAATTAAAGGTCCTGTAGAGGAGTCAGCTTGGTTGGAAAAATAATGAAAGTCATAAGCAGGAGATTTGAAAATGATACTTCATTGAGCTTCCTGTGTTTTATCTCATCTTTCCTGTCACTTCAGTGAAAGAAAAACAACTTTTTGCGCTCAATGTCATGTTTGCCTTTTCATTTTTTATAAAGTGGATTCATAATAGGTTTGACAAGAGTCTGCTGAAAACAATACTCTATCACAACTACTATGAAAAGAGATAACATTTAAAAAAAAACATACCCCAAAATAAACCAAACACAATCCCCAAGACTTTAGAGGAATTTACCAAATTGTGTCATTAGAGGACTCAAGATTAGAGTTCAGACATAAGGACTGGCATTTCATAAATTTGTGACTTTAAGGGGTATGTACTGAATAAATAAAATCTTTGAAGTTTTCAGTATAAAATATTAGATATCTGAGTAGAAGTGCATGGGGTGCAAGGACATCATTGTTACTGTGTAATGCACAGATTCAATAAAAAGGGCTTTGAGAAATATTCGGAGAGCTTTATATGTCTGGAAGCCTTTGTTTCCCTGGGGGGAGAGTTGTAAAGAAGTTTAGTCTTTATCTTATCCAGGAGGAGTTTTAAAAGTGACTTGCTAATGTGAGAAGTTTCTTCCGACACTGGAGAATTATGTTAGTCCAACAAAATGCCAATGATGATAATTTGCTGGAAGCTGAAGTTTAAAAAGAGATTAAAAAAATAAATTGGAGGTAGAGTGTAAATGATATCTAGATCTGGGGTGCAGTGTCAGAAAACATGATATGTAGGACCTAATCCCATCATCATGGATAAACCTACCTAAGTATCCCTTGAAGAAGGAGAGAATGTAGTCAGCCTTGTCACTATATGTGTAATGAGGTACGTTCTGCTTTTGTCTGGGCAGATCTGGATGTGTGGTGGTAGACTTCTGATCATCCCCTGCTCCAGGGTGGGACACATTTTCCGGAAAAGGCGTCCCTATGGCTCACCAGGGGGACAGGACACTATGGCTCATAACTCCTTGCGGCTGGCACACGTGTGGATGGATGAATATAAGGTAAGAGACAATTCTAGGTGTCCTGGTTTCAGCTGGGGTAGAATGAGTTTTCTTACTAGCAGCTAGTACAGTGCTGTGTTTTGGCTTTAGTCTGAGAACACTGTTGATAACACACCGATGGTTTAGTTGTTGCCAAGTAGCACTTACCCTGATCAAGGACTTTTCAGTCTCTCATGCTCTGCCAGTGAGGAGGAGCACAAGAGGCCAGGAGGGAGCAGAAACAGGACACCTGACCCAAACTAGCCAAGGGCGTATTCCAGACCACGGCACATCATGTCCAGTATATAAACTTAGGGGGTGGGTGAGCAGCTGTGTGGTGCTTGGTTGCTGGTTTGGATTAAACCACAGCACTCGGTCATGAGATAAGGTTAGTAACTGGCTTGTTTGTCACATGACTATATCATCACAGTGGGATCTGTTAGCATCTCTAATGGGGTCTTCCTTCTATAGTCTGATTCCCTAATGTTAACTTTGCTATGAATTCCAAAATTCTGTGGGATCATTGTTCGGCTTTTGAGTGCTCAAGTCTCCTCCCTCCTACTTCTACTATGCCTTTTTAATGAAGTAAAAGATGAGTGAGTTCTTGTAAGCTCTGCATTGCTCCGTGTCCAAATAAGTATTACGTGGCAGCCATGTACTGCTGTATGCCTTCAGGTAGTTTCTATGATGGCAAGACAGGGGTCTTATGGGTTGGCTGTATGCTTTCTGTTTTAATTAGCAGTCTGATTCTTAGTGTGTCTTGCCCTCGAGGCTCAATCAGAATTGACTTCTGGATTCAAGAGCAAGTGTATTCCTTCCTTGTCTTCAGATCTTGGTACTGATGCTCTTGAATGTAGGTCAGATTTCTGTGAATCTCTTTTCTCTGTGATACTTGAGGACATTTTGCCTTGTGAGACCATAGGATTTGCTGTGTGGCTCCTCCTGTGGTCCCTCAATTTCTATACAAGACATACTTTATTAACTTTCTATTCTTTAGAGGTGTATGTTTCAAACCTCATCCTTTATCTTGATGTTCAGTCAGTTTGAGGAGCCTATTAAGGGTTGTTAATTCTTATCGCCATTCTCCATCTCCATAATGTATTGGTACATCTATCACTTTCTCTTTTATTGGTGCCTGGGCACAGTTGTTTTGTGATTAATGATGGCTTTCTCTGAAGCTTGGAATTGATTCTTTGTTATAATTTCCAGCTTATACTACTTTGTCCAACAAGGACTTAAACTGCTGATTCTAGCAGTCTCTTATCACAGATTTATGTCCTGAACGTTTCCAGCTGTTTCTTATCTAATTCTCTGGTAGTTGCCAGAGACTGTCATTATGATGGATTTGTGTGTGCAAGGCAAGCTTGGAAATATTTCTGGTTTTATAAGCGTAATGCAAGTATTTAGGGCCAGTATAATTTACTGAAGTGATTGTATGATGAATAGTACAAAGATAAGACTTACATGACTTGTTTTGCAACAGGGCAAAAGTCATTATTTAATAAATAAAAATGCATAAGGGAAGGGAAGTAGCAACCTCTTCATAACTGTCAAAAGCTAAATGTAAAATAAGTAAGTTCAGGTATACAATGGAGATAAATAATGCAGAGAAGGTAGAACACTGACATTTGAACTTTAACCGGGAAAGTGACAATTGGAATATCAGAGCCATTGTTTTGAAGCAGGCTAGTTTATGATAGTGATGTCCAGTCTATCTCCAAACTTCCTCGGAGTTGCCAAACAGTCCAATGTACTTGATGCTTTCTCTTTCTCTGCTATTAAAATAGCAGTGATGCATCAAGCACATCCAAATGCTCAAAGATCTTGATAAGGATAGATGTGTAATTCATGTTGAGATGATGCTGTATGTCATCTGAATATCAGAGATAGCAGTAGGTAATTGAAAACTGTCAGAACTACGTTGTGCTACGTGAATTCCAGATGTCTGCTAGAGATTAATGCAACGAAATGTTATGGCTCAATGCCTTGAAAACTGATTTCCAAGTCATAGCTAGTAAAAGAGTTCATGTGCAAATACAATGCATTTTCCACTAGCTCTGTAAATCTAGCTGAAAGTAAAGACTCCACAAGGGGATTTTCTTCTAGTTTTGGCAATACTGTTCATGCCACATTGTACATTCATGAATTCCCGTTTTTCCCCATTGTTTCTTTATTAGAGTTGAACAGTACATAATACTGAGCTGGAATCTTAATCTATCCTTGTCTAAATAGTTAAAATTCTAAGCATAATTATAAATTAGAACATGAGAAAATAACACTGTGGGAGCCTTTCTGGGAGATGATGCGGGTGAAGCACTAGCAAAACAAAATGAAACTTGGGGTGTTTTACAAACAGGAAGAAGTTGGAAATCGGTCTGAAAATTATTCTCCCTTTGTCCCCAAACTGTTTCTCTTCACTACAGGAGCAGTATTTTGCTTTGAGACCTGAGCTAAGGATGAGGAACTACGGAAATATTACTGACCGTGTAGAACTGAGAAAGAGATTGAACTGCAAGTCATTTAAGTGGTATTTAGATAACATCTATCCTGAGATGCAAATATCTGGGCCCAATGCCAAAGCTCCGCAGCCAGTATTTATTAATAGAGCACAGAAACGACCGAAAATAATCCAGCGTGGAAGGGTAAGAGAAACTTTCTTAAAAATACAGAATCCTGTTTTTTTAATTATTCTGAGATTCTTTCTGAAAGATCTGCTCAAATACAAGAAAAATGTTCTGTTTCCATAGAGCATGGACTTCTAGTTTTGCAATAAGCTGTCTTGGAAACTAACAGGATTTGTCTTTATACAAAGGCAAATGAGTTTCACTCTGATCTATATTTCAGGTCATCTTTAGACCAGATACTCTTCAGTGAGGTTTCTTGCCTCAAAGCTCTGAGTTACAAAGTTTTGATGTCTTCAGAATGTGCTTTCATGGCTGCTGGTTCTGAAGATGGAAGTGGATAGAGAAATTTGGCCTCAGATATTCGTGCTCTGTGGTTTATGATAAGAGTACAATGTAATTAGTTTGCAAACTCGTTGCTTTAACGGGATAATTTTCTGCAAATATGAACACTTGCATTTGATGGCAGTTCTAGTCTTGACTTTTAGATAATGAGTTTTGCTCCTTTTTTCTTCAAAGTAGAAGAGATAAATTTTTATGTGTATTCATTCATGAGGGAAATCATGATTAAATTCATTAAATTAGCTCTGACACCTATGCGTATGGGTTTGTATGCAGGCAAAGCCAACACACAGTTGCATCTGTTCTCTCCAGAGACAAATTCATCTGATATGTCCTTTTTACACTTTCCCAAAGTAATGGATAACTTCAAACCCAAGACAACTTTCTCAAGGTCTTTACTTTCATAGAGACCTTTGAATAAACCATCTAATGTGCACATAGATTGTGGCTAGCAGATTCCCTTCTAGCTCAGTAATTGAAAGCATTAAATAGCAATGTAGCCCTCTCCACAGGGTAACACAGGCTGCAATAGCTGTTGACAGTCCTCAAAGCAGATTTAGGCTGGAGGACCTATTGACATAATTAGATTTTTGCTCAAAAGCAGGAATCTGAGAATCCACAATTTGCATAGTATTTTTATAATAGGATCCCAGCCAAGCAGTAAAGTTATTTATTAGGGCAAACGTGTAGTTTACCTGAATAAAACTGATACAATGGGATGATTGTCCTAGTTGTTGAATGCTGTTATTCACCATGGCAGAATTCTAAATAATAGGTTTCTGCTTTCATTCAGACAGAAGTTTAACTAAGGAATTGCTGACATGGGAGATGCTACTTGAGGGCTCTAAATTCCTCAACAACACTTAAGGGGAAATCTTCCTACCATTAATTTCCTGTGGTTTAATGTGGAGGAAAAAAACCCTTGTGCACCCTTTAAGAAGGGGGGAGACAAGACAGAAAAATGGAGTTCCTTGCCTTGGTTATCTGGGTTTCAAGAATTATACCCAGCATTGTGTAAGAGAGTCAGCTTTGGCTGTGATGATTGTATAAACTATTTCCAGATGCCTACAAGGAACAGAATGATCAGCCAATGTCACCACTGCATGCCAGACTCTTTAGAATTTGGGATGAATCACTCCAAATCTCAGCTTATTTTCAAAAACTAATTGGGCCAGAGATAAGTGCTGGTTTGACAGCTGTGAAGAACTGTAATGATCAAAAACTGTGACAGATTTTAACAGTGTTATCAAATGCTGATCATCATGGCCATTAAAAACAAGGACAAAAATCATATAAAACTCATGTAGCTTTATGGTTTGAAAGCCTTCTGTTGAGTGAGGAATGATGAAAATGAGATCTGTCTTAGATGTCTCTGGGGTGTGAGGAAATGTTACTTAAAAGCTTTTGTGTAATTTGTTTCAGATGTGTGGAGGGAATAGAAGAAACATGGTGCACTTGAGGAGGTGGCTGATGTGCCTTGGGACAGCTATTTCCAGAAATGGGGTTTAATGGAGAATATTGTTCAGTATTTGTACTCTCAAATTCATATACCAGCATGTGATGGAACAGTTCTTTTTATTACTGGAAATGTCTTCTGGTTTCTAGAAATCAGTAAAATCAGTCCAAATGCCAAGATAGCTACGTATGTCTTCATAATAAAACGCAGCTAACTAATTAATCAGCTTGGTCTTTTTTCCTCTATATTCAGCTCCAGATTGGAATTAATTATTTTTAATTTGGTTGCCAGATCTGGGGCCCTGCCATCTCCCACACATGTGCACACCCATTGGCTGTCAAATGCACTTCTGTGCACTTGTAGTTTGTCTTTAAGTAGTTCCTTCTCGTTTCTCAAAGAGGTGGTAGTGTTTCATGAAGAGAGGCCATAGGAGGAGATTTCTATTTAAACTAAACTGTAATAAAATGTAGTTTATACAGTACAGTCAATACTCCTGAGCTAATGAGTATTTGGTACCTGTGGCTTTCATGGGAGTGAAGAGGGGAAAGAAATTTGTCAAGAGTGCGGCCAGCATGTGCTGAGCACTTGTACCATACAGAGAGAAATCTTGACGTAAGTGTGGGTTGGTTTTGGTGGGTTTTTTTGTGAGGATACTAAGTTCTAGGGCTTCTAAAGCATTACCAGGTGTTCCTTTTGGTATGTGATATTTGTTGTTTACTCTGTCCATCAAACTGTTTTCCTTTCATAGCTGTATCACCTTCAAACCAACAAATGCCTGGTCGCCCAGGGCCACCCAAGTCAGAAAGGAGGCCTGGTAGTGGTTCGTGAATGTGACTACAATGATCAAAACCAGGTATGAGATACCTAATTGTACTGAATAGTAATTCACATCTTAAAAATTGCTAATACATTTTACTGCTGGCAAAATGCCTTAGTACCACATCTTACCAGCAAGCAGGCTAATGTCAAGAGTATCATTCAAGCAACAAGGCTGGCCGAGGAGACTGTGGAGCTTACTGCTCTGTACCTGCTAATGCTGAGTGTTGGATATTGTAATCTCTTTATAGAATGAATCTGTGTGTGTGGCTGAAGACTATCCTTAAGTGGCTTCTGACAGGATCATAATCCACTGATTGACACTTCACAATTTGTAGAAACGCCTTCAGTCAGTTCCTCATACTGGGATTCAAAGTGGCCTTTTCCTGGCCTTTTGTTCTTTGTGTATTGTACAACTAGTCCTCTGCTGCTAGAGTGGCTGTAGTCTGGAGTGAATGAATGATTTGTTATTATCATTAAATAGAAGGAAATCTAAGGAATTTAGAAAATTCTTTGGCTACTGGTGAATTGCTGATCTGGGGATTAATTAGGGATGGATGTAAAAATTCTAATGTGAGTTTTTATATCGCTACATAAAGCCTTTGGTATTCCACCTCTATTGTTTCAGGCAACAGAAGTTCAGGACTTGGATAAACAGTCTCCAGGGTAGAGAGTTCTTCATCTAATGCTGTAAAGACTTTTACTTAGCTAAGAACTACATTGAGAATGTTATGAATAGGAGCCTATGGGACCCAGGTTTAAAAACCAGATCACGTCTAAAGAGAAAAGTAATCAAGGACACAAAATAAGTGGAGCATGGGATGTAATGCAGTTTTCAGGGTATGGAAACTGCAATAGTAGAAGCAGGATGATTTGTGAATAGTCCCAAACAAGAAGTTGTTTGCTTTGTCCACTCATGGGACTTTCTGCCTCCTATCTGTGGCCTCACCAGTTGAATGTGACAGAATAAGATGGCATGAGGGGTGTTAGCCAGTGTCTGGTTGGCACTAGACACGTGGTCTCCAGTTGTCACTTAAACAGGATGAAGCAATACATCCCTGTGCTTTGCCTCTGGAATACTGAATAATCGTTGTTATAACCAAATTTTAGGTCTTTGTGTAAAGGTGGATGAATTTAAGTTGGAATGTGAATGGAAGTTTTCCTATGTGATCTCTTCCATTAGCTGTAAGAAAGGCAGCAAGTCTTGTAAATGTACAGACTGTGTAAATGTAATAGTAACTGATTGGCACCAGTGACTGTACATTTGCAGTGCCAAAGGTGCTATGCTGCTTTCTGAGCCATTCTGTGAGTGAGAAAGCAAAAATGATTGCCTGTGGATGATGTCTGCAGTAAGAACAGATGGGTCCTCACAGTTACTGCTTCCCTCTTCCTTCCTGCCATATTTTAATAGTGAACTGCTCATGGCTGGAGGAGAAAGTCTGTTGTTTTTCCTTATCAAAACCTTTTTCTGATCCCCACCCCCAGAAATAGAAACTTCAGTTAGCCTTTTGGTATTGAGAAAGACAAGTTAGTGCTCTGATTGTTGATCTTCGGCTTCTTTATGCATGACTCTGGTTTATTAGTGGTAAATTAAACAATTAGTTCTCATAAAAAACCCTGGCCGTACTATCTTATTTCACAGCAATTTTGTTCTCCAACCAAGTATGTTATCCAGCACTATGGTTTTCTGCCACTAGACTTATTTTGTTCTCCTAATAAATCCCAAGAGTGCATTCAGCCAGCTTGCTTTCATATCCTCTTGAACAATCTTGCTATAGTTACGTGAGAACAATGTAGAAAAAGACAACACTTATTTAACAGCTTCAGCTTATAAAAATAGCAAGAAACTTTCTGAGTATTAGAAGCTTTTATCTGTTGTTTGTGGTAACACTCAACCCATTGGCATTTTCTGCTGATTTTTGCTCTGGAACCATCTGTTTTATGCCTTTGTCCTAATAAGAAAGCCTGTGTTGGGTCTGGTGAAATGCAGGTACCTAGCTATCCCATTCCCTGAGGCCCACTGGCAGCAAATTAAGTGTGTGTTGCTTAATACAGCACAGAGAGTTACTCTGGAAGATGACAATCTGTACTTTGTGAGCAATATTTTTGTGACTGTTTACCATTTTTTCTGAACCGAAGATGCCATTTCTGTAGAATTTTTGCCATTTCATGAGTGTGTGATTGTATTTTGACCTCATGTAAGCTTTTGGCATCCTGTGACAGCTTTCTGTGAAAATAATTCGATGCCACTTGGGACTGATTTCCTTTGATGATAGTGAATTTTTCCCTGAGGTACATGAGTAAGTTATCACTGGTTATCTGTTTCTAAGCTGCTTTTGCTCTGGAGTAGGTAACACTCTCCCTTGAAAAATACATATTGAAGGTGCAGTCTACCTGGGAAAACATGCAAAGGGCTGGGAAGACAAAATGGGCTGCCTTAACACTCACTGACTGCAGTTCTTTTGATTGGAAAATAATTGTCTCTTAATCTCTTAACTGGAAAATAAGTCTTATGTGCAGTATAGACAATTCATGCATGTGAGAGCTGATGCTGAGAGGTGGGTTTGTGCGAAACTCACTGAAGTCATGAGATTGGCCTTACAAGGAGATCTCTTTTTCCCTTAGTTGATGCTTGCTATGTTTTCTGTAGCCTTCATGGCTGCTAAGGAATTTCAAATTCTCACTTCTTGATTTAAAAGAAGTAACAGCTGTTATGTAACTGTGTCATCACCATTATGGGTAGTACTTTCACATTATTGGGTAGTTGACTTGGATAAGCGTTATTAAGTAAAGTTAAAAATTACTCAAGCACATCAGACTATCCTATTTTCTAGGACTTGACAGTGACATTCAATTTGTTTTTTGCTATAGGAAGAAAATGCAGTAAGGAGAGTGGTTCTCACAGAGGTTGATATGTGTAGAAAATGTATTTTAAATGTGTGTCTTTAAGTTATAATGAACAGTAGGATGTTTTGTTGTAATAAATAATCTGGGGCTCATACTGGTGATTGAACACATCCAGGAAGAAGTGATGAAAATTTTGTAGTTAGAAATAACACTGGTAGAGGAGGTGACAGGATCCTGCAGAATAAGGTCAGTGAAGAGATGTCTGAAGTAACACAGAAAAGAGAAAAATTGATTGCGAATTTTGCAAAGAGAAGACTAACATGGAATGAGCAGTTCTGTAGCTGAAGAGTGGGCATGTGAAGGAACTGCCAATATTGCCAAAGGAAACACTCTCCTGAGCTTCAGTAGTGTGTCTGACCTCTTTCTGGAAATGAGACTGAGCCTGCACAACGTAGTGCACACCACAAAACCTTTGGTGTTGAAGGATGATTGAAAATACTTAAGCATATTGCAAGATCGTCATGAAAGACTGGAGGTATCTGAAAAGTGGAAGTAACAAACTATGGTGTAGCTTCTACCCCAAACCGTCATGCCAAGATTAATGAGGTGGTGACTAGGAGACAAGGGTTCTGGAGCAGGCCTTGGGCTACATACTGCCCTAAAGGAGGAGGAGGAGGAGAAGTAGTTAACAAGAGGCTTGGAAGAGAAACATTAAAGAACACTAAAAAGGAAGGTTTTGGAATGAAGCACAGTAGCGAACACAGGACTAACTAGTGGGAGTGTTTGTGATCTAACAGCTAAAGAAAGATTGGGTTTGTCATGTAGCTAACGCGTGCTTGCCTTCTCCCTGACCTAAATGTTAAAGACAAATTCCTTGTCCGAAACATTTCTTAAAGACCACTAAATAATGTGGATTTTTTCAACTGTTTGTTTTCAAATACACCAGGTTGACCCTTAAACTTTATTTTCTGTGTTGTTATAACCTCTTCTCTGTGTGTTTAGTTCTATTCAATAGTTTAACCTTTCTCTTACTTAGCAATATATTGAGTTTTAAAAGTGTGACTCTTGGCATTCCAGCTGGGGATGGTACTGAAGTGTCTAAGCAAGGGCATCTGTGCTCTGGGCCTTTAAGAGATAACTGATCTGAACAGGGAATTCCAGAAAAGCTCTGCTAACACTCTTACAGCACTTCATAAATGTAAGAATACGTACTTCACAGGCTGTTCAAGAGTCAGTCTGGAATGATGTGCTCACATGTACAGTTCTTCTGCAAGATCTTTCTCCCCAAACCTCTAGATCGTGACTGTTAGTTTGCCTTTCTGATACAAGTCATGGCTAGAGTGAGCATGAAGACATCCAAGTAAGTCTGCCTGCTGCTTTTCCATAAACTGCTGAAGGAACACAATTCATCAGTCCCTCTAACTATTATGAAACATCGTTAAACACACTAAACTGTGAAACAGAAAGCATGTATCATGTATCTGCAACAACCTTCAGGAGGACATTGGGTTTTCAGGGGAGCAGTAGCTGAAAATAATGATTACAGACCACCAAACTTTGTGGCTTCTGATGATTTTCACAAGTCACTTGGTGCTGGGATGTCATTGTTACCTGTAATAACAGGAGCTGAAGTATATACGAATAGTTGTGATGATGCAGACTGCTAGGCACATCTCCTCCTCAGTGCTGAGGCAGCTTTTTTGTGCTCTTAAGCTGAATTTTTCTCTTTCAGAGACTGTCTGACAGAACAATACAGTTGTGCCAATCCAAGCAACAGATTGTAACTGATGAAAGTACCGGAATGCTTCTCCTGTCGGCATGGTTCACGGCAGGGATTTTCTTTCACACAAAGGGCTGTTTCTGTAGTAGTTACTGTCTTGTATTTACTGAAAATTTTCAAAGCATTCCTCTAGTGCTAATGTAATTTGCAGACCAAATGGGGGTGTATATTCACAAAGCTTTGCCAGTTGGCCAGCTATGCCTTTTGCTACACTCCACTGCACTGTGAAAGCCAAAGGGTAGGCTGATGCTTCCTGCTTTATTTCATAGCATTTTGAAATGTTTACTCTCTAGGAACAGTGAGCTTCCCTTTTCTACCTACTACAGATTCTTTTATTTATTATTTTCTCCCTTGGTTGGGTGATAGGTTTTGTTTTTGTACAGTTATCTGTTTTGACATCGGACTCGATCTTCTATGGGTAACTCCATTTTTCCAGAGGAAATGATATGTGCTGTCCTTCTAGATGATGAGGCACTGTTTGAGCCCTTTCCTCACTTGAATTTCCTCTGAAGTACTTCAGCTAGCTGTTACCTATTTACATTAATTAATCTCACTGTAGGAATAATACCATGTTTTACCAGAAAAAAAAGTGTTCAGTTACACTGCCCCGTATTTCTTTATGATAAAAAACAATCCTGTGGGATCACTGGGATATAGAGGTTTATGGAGGGAGCGAAGAGCCATGTCTCCTTTACCAACAGTGGCAACCTGAAACCAGTCAGGAAATCTAAATATTAGTAAAAGGAGAGAGCAGAAATCTCCCCTGTCCAGTCTTCAGCCATGTCACACTGCTGTCCTTGCAAGGAGTTAAGCTGTAGTCCTCACTGAAACTAGTCATTAACTGTGTATGAGGAGAAACTGTTTCTACCCACTTGTCTGTGTGTAGATGAGACTAATGAAGTCATCAGTCAGTCCTGGCAAAGGCTGGGTGATTGATTGTGTCCTATTGGTACTAGAAGCCCTAGGAAACCTCAGTTCTTAAATCTGTAAATAGTCTGAACTACCTTTTGATGGGCCTAAATTCAAAATCCAGTTCTTCCTAGGCTGCACCTGCATAAAGAAATGTTTCTGCTAACAGGGTTTGTGCTTTGGATCTCCTCCTATTTATTTTGTCCATGAGACCTACTCTAGTACACTTACCCTAGATCTGTGCTGTGCGTCCCTTTCCTGCTGTGGGAAAGTTGAACCAGCTGCTGTGGTCTGGGTGACTAAGCACCAGCAGGACCTCTGTGTTCCTGTAACCACTGATGATGGTATTGACTCTGATGGGTGGGAGACTTGGGCAGGCATCTGAGCACTACCACGTGTGAAATGCTTTGCTTGAGGGAAGATCTCTGGGTGCTCTGGGGAGATGTAGGACCTCGGGAAGGTCAGTCAGCAGCTGGATGGGCCACTGCACTCCAAAACCGAAGGGATGCTTGGCGCCTTTCCACCACCACCAGGATAAGATTTCCTCTTACCCTGCTGCCTGTGTTGACAGGCAGGGAGAAGAGAGCTGCTAGAAAGAGGCCAATCCTACAGCATTCACCTAATTAAATAATTTATTTAACCGCAAACTTCATCAATTTCATTATGGAGAGAGATTTTTCCGTAACATCTGCCACTTAGGTTGTTGGAAAAAAGAAACAATTCATTGTATTCTAATTGCATCGCAGTGTCTTTCCTTCAGTGAAAATAGTGAGTTTCCTTATGCCTGTAGAGCAGATCAGTCATTAGCATGTGGGGGACAGCAGTGAAAAGTTCTGCTTTCTGTGTGGTGGGAGCTGGGCATAATTCCATTTTTAGAAACTGAAATCTGACAGGGATGCTCTCCTGGGTTGTTAGGAAGTGGATGCGGAATGAAAATATCCTGCACCTCATCTGTTGCCTCTTTTAAAAATAAAATGAATTTTTGAAAAGCGGTTATTGTAGAAAACACATAAGAGGGTAAAATAAGACATTCCTCAGAAGTGAGGTATGAATCCTAGGCAGGCACCATTTTCATTATGGACTTTTGATAGTGTGTTGGCCGCCAGGAGATGTTGCCTTCCTATACTGGGCTGTTACAGCCTGTCAAGAGCAACAAGACCTAAACATCATCCTTCCAGTCTTCAGCAGCAAAGCAGTTAATAAATTTTGGAGTATGCAAAGGCTTGCAGTTATACAACAAAACCCCATCATAGGGTGGCTTTGCTTTCCTTATGCTTGAATCTGCAACTTCAAACTGATATTCTAATCTGAATTTGGAAGCTTTGTCCCAAATTTGGGCCTTTTTTCCCCTCTTTACTCCCCTCTCCCCCCCCAATGCATCATGAGTTTGGAATTAATTTTGGCCGTCTTGTATAAGCCTTTCTGGAGAAGTATCACACTGGATTTAAGCAGTGTTCTGTGTTCTTTGCCATTCCTGAGCTTTTGATTAAAGGTCTGCTCCCCATGTCACTGCAGTCTTTCATTCTTACCAGCTTCATCTGTTGTTTGGGGATTTGGCTCCATCATTCTACTTCTTTTAATAATAATAAAACTTCTGGCAAGTCTTGCTATTTCTCCATTGCCTCCTCCACTTCAATCTTGCCATGCTTGCTTTCTTATGGCAGGGTTTAAACAGAAAAAGTATGTTAGAAGGCACCAGAACACCTGAGGTTAGGGCACATTTTAATGCGATACCTGCACTGTTTAACGTGAGGCCTTCACAGTGTTACAACAGTCACTGTTCTAATGAGCTGTATGCTTTTCAGTCATGCTGTCCAGCTGAGGCAATGCCCCGAATCACAGCTCCCTCCAGAAGGCTGAGCTTAGTTTCATCGGATAAAATCTAATAAAAATCACAATTTGCTTTATTTGCTCGACTTTTCTGCCTGGAATTTGATATTCTAGGCTCTGAGTGTGAAACTTGTGCTGACTTAGTGGGGGTTGAAAATCGCAGAGTGGGCATGGTTACCGTAGCTCTGAGCTGTGTGAGATCAGAACAGGGCTGCAAGAAGAGTGTATCGGAAGAACTGAGCGTGCCTGTAGGTACGGGTACCTCTGGTACAGTTATGAGGGGCTCATTCCCTCTTATTCCCAGGGTCAGTAGTCGAGGGAAAGGAGTTGGTGCTGGCAAGTGACACAGATGAGCAGGGATGCTGGTGGTACACAACATCCTGGGGCTGGGTCTGGGAATTGCAGGAGAATGAGGGTGCCTGCTTGACGGCCAGATGCTGTGTGAATGCAGGGCCCCGCTGGGCACTCAGAACAGCAGCTGTTTGGTGTTTAGCCAGCTGGTGTCAGCGTCTTCCCTGCACTGCAGAGTTACAGTTTCCAAATACTTTCTTCTCCTTTTCCCTACCCCTGTGTAATCCAGGATATTTTGAGGTGCACACACTGAAGTTCTGCATTTCTTTGCTTTCCAGCACAGGGATCAGAATCTTCTGTTGGTTACAAGACCTCCAGGTCTTCCACCTCACTGATGTTGGCCCAGGTCTTTGCAGGGCTGAGGGCACTGAGGGAGGAGCAGCAGCTCCTGCAGTTAATGACCAGGCTGATGGTCCAGCTTCCCTGAACCTTCAGCTGTGCCAGACATGCCTTGCTCCAAAGCGAGGTTTAGGCAGGCAGCTGAGGGTTGGCCATCTGACTGCTTGCCTGGCACATTATCTTGTTTAACTGCCTGGACAAGAGGAACACTTGGGCGCTGCTGAAGTTTAACAGTGGTAGTTACAGGGCAGAGTCACAGTTGGTCCTTCTAGTGCCTCTGCATGGGGTAATGCTGTGTGATGCTGGGAAGGCAATAAAGCACTGCAGCTGCGTATCTGTTGCTGGAAAAGAGGCAGTGAGTATTGAGTATTGCAAGGCACATGTCTGACATCCAGGTGCTAAAGCACCTCCTCCATAGCTGAACAAAAGATGCAAGGCACCTGCCCCGAAACACTGGGATAAATGTATTTCTGTTTCCTCTTTCAGGTCTGGATTTACAATGAAGATCATGAGCTGATTTTAAATAATCTCCTTTGCTTGGACGTTTCGGAAACTCGCTCATCCGATCCACCTCGTCTCATGAAATGCCATGGGTCCGGCGGCTCGCAGCAGTGGACATTCGGGGTAAGCGGAGTGGCTGGCATAAAGCACATTGCTTGTAATTGATCATGGAATCACAAAGACATTTAGGTTGGAAAAGACTTTTTAGATCATTGAGTCCAACCATTAAGCTAACCCTGCCAAGTCCACCATGAGACCACATCCATAAGTGCCACATGTATACACCTTCTAAATACCTCCAGGGACGGTGACTGAACCCGTTCCCTGGGCAGCCTGTTCCAATGCTTGACAACCCTTTAAGTGAAGGAATTTTTCCTAATATCCAGTCTAAACCTTCCCTGGCACAAACTGAGGCCATTTCCTCTTCTATCACTTGTTACTTGGGAGAAGAGACCATCCACCTCCTCACTGCATTCTCCTTTCAGGTAGTTGTAGAGAGTGATAAAGTCTCCCGAGCCTCCTTTTCTCCAGGCTAAACCACCCCAGTTCCCTCAGCTGCTCCTCATAAGACTTGTGCTCCAGGCCCTTCATGACAATAGCACTAACAGGACAGCAGATTTGAGTTTAATTATGACTAAACCTCAGATGTACCAAGTCAATTGTACTGTAGCAGGCCCAGCCCACAGTCTAAGCAGCCTGTACCGAAGTTGCATGGGTTGTGGTGGCCGCATTTCTTAACAAGACTGCTGAGCTCTGACTCATGCAGCCCCTTTGCAACTTGGGAATGTTTCTGCAGCTCCATTTAGCCTTTTTTCTGTTCGACACAGCCACCCACTGTGATTCACAGGGATGTGCCAGAGAGACCAAAATCCACCCCACAGCCCTTTGTCATGTTGTTTTTGCAGGACTGGGAGACAGGAGCAGCCCGTGTGGTGGTTTCTGCTTCGTGCTTGAAGAAGCACAGGGCAGAGCGAGGGATTGAGAGAGGGGGTTTCTTGCAGTTGCTTCTGCCCCATAATTGCATCTCATTAGTTTAATCATTTCGAGTCTGGAGTGGTTGATTCACAGAACTGAGCCAGTGCTGCATGTGCTTAGAATTTGGCTCCTGGGTATTAACTCGGATGTTGTTCCCCACATGCCCTCAGCACAGCAGTGAGTCTGTAGTACAGACATTGTTGAACAAAGAAGAGGGCACTGCCCAAACTGCCTGTTGCGCTTCCAGGACAGCTCTGTGTAATCTGTCCTGGGTTCATCCCTTGCTGCTCGTTGGCAGCACAAGTTCCTGTGTGGAGTCAAGTAAGGAAGGCTGTTGCAGTCCAGGATGGTTTGGAGATAGGGAGGCAGGTATTGCATGAGCTCAGGCTTGTGTGTGTCTGAGGTTTGCCCCAGCAGTGCTGCAGCTGCAGATGGTGGTGGGAGTGGTGTGCTGATAGTCTGCTGCTGGTAAGAGATTACTCAGGGTTCATCAGCTTGAGTTAGCAGACAAGGGTTTTACAAGACTAAGAGAACAGCTATTGAAATTCATTGCTGGTAACTGGTAGGTGATGCCTGTGATGGTAGCGTGTGAGTCCTTGGTGCAGAGAGGCCAGCTGTGCACTGTCAGTTCCAACCAGAGTTAGAGGTATTCTGGAGGAGTGCTGTGGTATCCTTGCTATGTTCTCCCGCTCTGTTGGACATCGGCTTGTGCCTGTAAGCACCGACACTGACCCTGGTGTGACTCTTCTCATGTATTGGCTCCCTCCATGCAGGAGAAGAGCAGGTTGCTGCCCATGGGCGCTGCTGGGGTGGTTATGGATAGATCAGGGAGTCCGCAGCAAGGCTCATCTGTCAGGAAGGAGCATCCCCTCCCCCTGAGCATCCCTTTCAGCTTCAGTTTGACGATGAGAGAACCGAAGTCTTAATAACTAAATCCCATCTGTCTCCTCTAGAAAAACAACCGCCTCTACCAGGTCTCTGTGGGGCAGTGCATGAAGGTGGTGGATCCACTTAGCCACAAAGGGTACGTGACCATGGCCATCTGTGATGGGTCCCTTCCGCAGCAGTGGCGTTTTGAGAGCTGAGGCAGCGAGGATGCGGTTGGGAAGCGTTAAGCCAAGACCCCAGTTCCCCTTCAGCCGTGATGTTCAGTCATTCTGGAGGGCTTTGTGAGGAGCTGCTGCACCCAGCACAGCCCCAGCCGCTGCGGCGGCCCGGTGGGAACACTGCTGTGAAGAGCTGCGTGCAGGAGAAGGTCCGGGTGGTCCCTGGCCGCTGGAGCAGGAGCAGCAGAACACCACTGCGTAGAAGTGCAATTTATCAGCAGTTCCTTGGATTATCCTGGATTATTGAACTGTTACTCAGTAAGAGAAATTATTAGAGCAATGTAATTTAAATGGTGAGATTTTAGCTTTGTGGAGCTTTTAAATGCCAATGACAAAAAGGAGTCCTCTTCAAGTATTTCATGTGCAGTATCTCATTAATTTACGTTTTTAGTATGGTTTTACTGGACAGATTATTTTGCTTTGTCTGGAAAATATTTTTCTTCCCTTTTATCTTCTGATAATTGTCATTTGTAATATTTAAATTTAGTTCGTTTAATTTGCAATTTTAGGACATTTCATGTAGTTTAAACCCATAGCTGTCATTTGTCACCTCGTATTTAAAACAAAGTAACTATTACAAAGTCTATTTTGATGACTCATGACAGTAGCTGCATTTAAAATAAAGTATCATTTTTTTATTGAGCTGTATGGCCTTACTCTTTGTAGCTCTTGGACCAGAAAGCACCAATTTAAGAGACTGATGTTTTCACTCTCTTTTTTTCTCAGCTGGCTCTTTCTCGCTCTCTCACATCTTGGAAGCTTTGAAGATCATTTATCTCTTTGTTTTCCTTTCCCTCTGCTTCATGTTTCCCTTCCCCAGTTCATTTATTTCACTCTTTACCTTTGTTCGACTCTTGTCTCAGCCTCGGATGCTCCTTCAGTGCCTGGAAGCTGCTGCAGGAAAGAAGAGCTGTTCTTACCCAGCACGTGTTTGCTTAGCACCGTTGGCCTGGTTGATCCCACCGGATTGAGCTGCCTTCCCACAGAAGCCATCCCGGTGTTCAGCCAGTGCCACGACAGCCCCACCCTTTCACTTGGACAGCAGGAACACTTTCCAACTGCACGAATACTCCGGCATCCAGTTCCTGACATTCTGGGCAGCGTGAGGCAAGGATGGTAATGTTGGAGTAATTACAAGAGCCACGTCTTCCCGCAGAGAGGAGAGTTTGACAGATGGTGTTTGGTCCTTCAGCTGCTGCCAGGGCTGCCGCCCTGTGAGGACAAAAGCAGGAGGAAGAAAACGAGCAGGTAAGAGCCATCCCTCCTGCCACCGCGCAGCTTCTCGCCTCGTCCGTCAGTGCTGGAAGCAGGGAGGAACCAGGTAAGCTGGGTTTAGTTGTAAACCACAACAACAGGCTGAAGTGGAGGTTCTTCCATGTAAAGCATTACAATGGGAGTCATTCAGTTAGACACCAGCCAAGTTCTTTCCCATCATGAGTCTCTAAAAACAACCCTGGCCCCTTGCAGCAGCTGTGCCTCAGTCGAGGCCTGTCTGTGCCTGGCTGGGTCGGGTGGCCCTTGGAGGGGTGCCCAGAGTCTGCAGATCAGTTCCCAAATCGCTGTTGTAGGGCTGGAATGGAGTTCTGGATGTTAGCTCACAGTGGCCTCCAGTTCAGCCCTTCTAGTGGCAGCCAGGGCAGTGTAAAACCAGGCAGCACAGCACACTGACAGCTCAGGAGCAGGTCCTGCTTTCTTGGGCTATACCTGGGGTGGCTGCTGTGTCTGCAGTTAATTCCAGTCCTTGCTGGAAAGGATGGGCTGCAGCTTCCTAAACACCTAATTAACCCTGGCTGCTTCCACAGGT